TGTCCTCTTGCACGCGAACGATCACGCATTCTACGATCTCCTCCTGCGAACGTAAACGCACGTATTTAACACTGCGGGCGTCGCTTGCGAATAAACATTTTCCACGAATAAATTGATGTTTGTTGAAAAAAATTGAAGGACTTCCGCTCGGTAACTGTACACGGCGTCGAGTTTGAGTTTGCAGGGAGATCGCGTCGAAGTTGATCAAGTGTACTTTTTAATATATCGTAGAAATCGTACACATAGGAAGAACGTTTCAAACGGTAATCGCGAAAGAATAATTCTTTCAGGAAAGAAAAAGAGAGAGAAAGAGGAATCCAGAAAATTTCTTCAGCTATCGTGGCTTTCTCAAGCCGATTCGTTTAAAACCTGATTCCTTTTTTCTCGGGATTTTCTCGTTTAGCTAAGAATCTTCAGTCGCAATTTTTCGAGCGGAGCTCGAGCGCTCGCAAATGTAATCGCAGCAAGAGCGTAGCGCCGCGCAGACCTATGTACGCCGAGGTGTGGCTTCGGGGATCGATACTTGTGTGTTAGTTCTCTCTCTTTCTCTCTCCCTCTCTTTCCTCTCCTCTCCACTCTCTCCTCTCCTCTCCTCTCCTCTCCTCTCCTCTTCTCTTCTCTTTTGTCAGTTATCGCAATCGTCATCGTTTCTACAATATTTCTGTCGATATTGTTATAGCAGATGTGCGAAGAATTAATATGTGTTTATTACGCATATGTAAATTTAAACATAACTTTGTAGAATGATATTACGTTTAGCAATAAATCGATCGGTAGTTTATACTCTTTGTAGGTCCCACAAATTTGATCACCAAATTTTTCCCACAAGCTTAGATTGTAACGTTTCTATTGGAAGGAACGAGCTCCCGTCGTCGACAGAAATTCTCGCCAATAATATCCGCCTTTGGCGTATCCGAGCTCGTTTCCCCGACCACATCTTATTGGATCGAAGGACGAGAAGATGGATTCTGGCCTCCATTCTCCCACCTCGCTTTTCTCACGAGCTTGAGAATCATTTGAAAAGGATGGTAGAAAGATGCATTCGGTGAACTTTGATATATACGTGGTGCCTCGATCTCGAGTTCATAATCGAGTTCATAATCGATACAGCGCGAATACCATGTGTGAAGAACATACGTATTGCATTCTTTAGATCTTTGACCGCGTAAACGTACGCGAAATGTCGATTTACTCGTCGGGGTCATCACAAAATTCTACAAATTCTATATAATTCTCTCTGTGTAATGTCCATTAAGTGGAAGTATTATATATTATACCTCCTAGTGCGATATTATACAATCGGAGTTAAAATCGACGCGATAAGTATTTTTAACATTTTGCAAAACTTTTGGCACTTTTTGCACAAGTTACTTTTAGAATTTCTTTTATTTGACAAACGATCCTTAGTCGTTCTCTCATCATTGATATGCATCCTGATAATCCTGATTCTCATCTCGTCTGCTATCTATGGAGGGTTCGTTTGGATCTTATTGGATTGGGCAAAAGGTATTAAAGGAAGAGGAAACGACCCTCCGCAATACTTTGATCCTGCCAAAGATGGAAAGTGTAAAGTCACACTCGTCCATTCTTGAACCGTGACGATCTTTAAGAGAATCCATATCTACTAAAATTATATTCGTTTAATATTGATCGTACGCGGTTTATTCGATTATTGGCGCTACTATTACATGTTTTCGCTGACAACAATTATACGGAATTTCCAACGGTATCTTATGCTCTACCAAACATTGCTTCTCAATCAAAGACGACGAAGACAACGGTTGGCTCACATATAAATCTGGTTATACTGACAAGAATAATAATAAGATATGGAACAACTAATTATATATGGTTGTTGCAATCGCAGAACTAATTGCTGAGTTGATGTGATATCTGATTGTTCCAACTTGAGTATATTCACAGTGAATGTCATCTCAACCGATTTGTCAGATCAACTACACAGATGTATCAAGGTAATTGAGTCAAATGAACCATGCACATTACCATCACACAAAGATAACTAAGGTGTTGCTCGAAATATTTCTGATTATGTGCGCCATATCTTTTTCTTCCGTGTAGCATCGTGTTGCATCTACGTAATACGCTTATTTCTCGTGCCTTTTACATAGAGACGATGGTATTTCGTTGATGTCGTTGATGTTCGTTTTTTGTGCTTTTATTGACTCCAAGACCATCCATCGAAATTGATCTCGCCCTCTCGTCTGGATTCCTAAGTGATCGCGGAGGCGCGTTATCAAGCTATCGCATTCGTTTTGCGATCGAGAAGGATAACCCCGACGGTATTTTCTATTGATAGGCGGTCGCGGCATCCGCGTTGCTTCTCATTAAATTTTCTTTACGCGTCGACGTGGAGTGACAACGGATGTCGGAAACACCGGTTTTCGCTCGATTGGCGAGATCTCACGCCGATGAAACGACCGAGGCGAGTTGTCGCGCACCGCGTGCTAACTCAACGTGATACGTCTGTCAGGAAAAGTTCCGCTCTCATTATAGCGGTGCGGTGGCAACCCACTTCGTTGATCGATCTCGAAATAGGTACGCATAGAGGACGGCGCATTGCGGCGGAAGCGCCGCCGGATAGACGGGACAAATGCAAGCGAATCACACAAGAACGAAGGGTGAATTTTTCTTAACCTTCCACACACACACACACACACACACACACACTAGTCGAGGATCCTTGTAGAACAAACATGGAAATTTCATTAAACATTAATTCAAAGGAAAATTTAATATTTTTAAGAAGCAGTTTTGTATCAGTCTTCACAGATTTTGGCTAGTTAGTTTTAATAAGAAGATATAGGAAAAAACTATCATGTGTGTCACTTTAACCCCTCCCTCTACCCCACTTTTTGTTACATCGAAACGACATAAAATATCTGAAAAATAAAAAAAATGTATTCGTTGGGAATTATATATTTATTTATATTAATATAAATATACATTTTTTCACATTAAGAAAATATTTTCTCTAAACGAGGAAATATATATTTTTCTGAAATCGCCTCTTCTCATGAAAATAATTGTTTATTCTATTTAAACAAAGTAATTTAAATATAAGTAAATATGTTTTATATCAGTATTTACTGAATAAATATTTTTAATTTTTTCTCTTAGATATTTTTCTTCTTAGATATTTTTTCTCTCAGTATATCGGAAAGTTGAAGGAGAATCAGCTTCAAACGAATAGAATCATATCACATACGAAATAATGGAAGAGCGAGTTCCAAAATTTGGCGAATTTCGTAACGGGGAAAACTTGCGCGTCCATGACAAGCGAGATAATCTTGACATTCAAGCGAGGCGAGTTATCGAAATAAGACTCGAACGTCGCATGAAAGGCTTCCTCGTGAAGCGCAATGTTATGCGTGGCATATCGGCCGTGGATACAGCTCTTATTCTCGCGTACCAACGCGTCTAACTTATTCGTTACACCGTTTTTAACGCGAGCCGGCGGCGTCTCCTTCACTTGACCCTGATTAAGCTCGACTCTCGCGGATCGCGAAAAATGTTGACCCTCGACATCGTGATCGCACAGTGGTCGTTTTATAGGTACAAATCAACCGAGTTAAGCTCGCTGCATACGATCTCAGATTCGCGAGGAAGCTTTAAGTGGAGTCGTATTATGCTGTATTCGTCACAAATTATAGATCGGTTAAAGTAAGCTTCACTGGTTGTTGCAATAATGAGGAACGATCTTTGAATCGTTCTTAAGAAACGTGTTGGTTTTTTACGTGCTCTTTATTTGTGTCCCTTGAAATATGGACGCGCAATTAAGGATTACACACTGAGAAAAGATTTTTTTAGTATTTATAATAACTGTAATAAATTGTGTGTACGATCAAGAAAAAATTACAAAAATAATTATAATTTTAGTTGGATCCATCGTCTTTTGCTCTCAGTACACGCTATATTTATTCAGCGAACGTGTCGAGAATGCTCTTTCTCGCCCACATCGGGTTGCGATGTATGTCAATCGTCGTGCGACCGTCAGCTCCGAGAGCTAATTGGCGACAATTGTGCACCCGAGAAAACGTCGCAAAAATTCTAGTAGCGACACGATTGTTCGACAGCAGCAAGGACCACGCTGGATAAAGGCGTCACGTCTGCGCTGGATGATACTGTCTGGCTGTCTCGTAACGATCTCGGATGCTACTTGCGGTGTGATTGCCGATTGCCACATTCGCGAAACCCGTAATCCTGAAACCAATTTGGGGATAGCACGCCATTCGCAAACTCGCGAAATTCCGAAAACGATTGTTTTAAGGCCTATCTACAATGGTCGTAAGACCAGAGAAGTGTAACAAGTAAATCTTAAATTCTGATTCGAAAGATCGCCAAGAAGAGCATTTTTTGTAGGAATTTTTTGTAGGTAAACGAAAAAACCAAATAATGTCAAACTATTCTCTAAGTTTTATTTTTAAAATATATTTTTATCGTTTACGTGAGCTCTTCTTTTGTATGTTATACCCTAGTTACTAGAAATTCGCAAAAAAAGATAAGTGTATAGGCAATATCAGTGATTCTGGTCTCTCTTATCTGAAATGTGGGAACCAAACATTTTCGACATCTTCCGTCCATTGTAGATGGTCCTTTACGATCGCGCTTACGACAGCGTCATCATTCCGATCGGCGTGGATTTTCTTCTACATTCGTCCGCTGAAGAATCTCACCGACGTGAATCCGTGACATCCGCGTTATCAAATGTTACGTAACGGCATGAGAATCGTCCGAGAATGATTCGTAAATCAAAGAAAGATATTGCAAAAATTGCAGGCGAGAGTGAAGCGGAGGATAGAGAGATACGACTGAAGGATGAAACGGTTTTAATGATAAAATGGTATCGCGTAAACGTCCCGTTTCTGCTGCGCGTTTCATTGTCCTTTTAAAGACACGTCCAAATACTGGATGAATCGTTTAAAATATAATGCTGCTTGTGTAACCAGTAGCTTTATATCTCGTCATCCTTTCTGTTACAGTGAGATTGCACGACAGTATACAAGAGGAGAATTTCCATTATCTCGTCTTTGACCTGTAAGTATACCGAATCGTTGTTAGAACCGTTAGACCTAATTTAATTTCCATGCATGTGTCCCACGCTTTCATCAGAGAGCGCGAGGCCGTTTGGTCGGACATATGAGACCCGAACGGCAATCAAAATCTCGAGCGATTGTAACGATGACGCGGATGGTCACGATTTGTTCCTTTTTAATAGTCCCTCGATATCTTTCCCATCTATATCAGTCGATTGGAAATGTGGCGTAGTTTTGTTTTATATACGAAGAAAGAGAGAAGAAATAGTATCTCTCTATGATGTTATTTATGATAATTACAAATGTTTTTTTTTTTCTTTCCACGTTATATTTATCCACGAATTTGAGCGGTTAATATTCGAGGAATTGCATGAAATGACACACGGAAAAACATCATCCTATTGCCAAGAGAAACGATTGCTCAGTTTACTTTTCTCCTTTAACATAATCGTTATCTTTAATAAAGGTTATTTTCTTGATAATGGTCTTCATATGTCACAAATTTGAGAAAAGCTCATTATCATGCATTCAAAAGGGGAATTTATTCTGTTTGTAAGAATATTACGAATTATTATGAAAGGAAACATTTGTTCTCATTCGATATTTCTGATTGAGATGTTAACTAAACTTGTTAACATTTGCTCGAATACGTGCGTTTTTCTGTGTTTCCGTTTCTGTGCCTCCATTCGTGAGTTGTCCCCCGAGCTGTGACTCGAGGCGAAGGCGTAAAATGATTTGACACGCGGGCAATTGGTCTCCATCGATATAGACCGATATATTCGACGACAACGTCAAAAACTTCTACTGTCGAAAACGTTATCGGTCTCCGATCTGCGCGCTCGCGTTGGAAGCACTCGACGTAATCGAGAGCCGGCCATAGGCGCGATATTCTTTCGAGTCATCGTCGCGTTCATCTCACGTGCGATTCCATTAACAGGCTCCCAGGGCGAGTAACAACGAGGCAATTTGTGAGCTCTAATTGTATCGGACGAGATACAATCGATCTCTCTTGCGGTCTTTTAATATCGCCGACGGCCGATCTTCCTGACGGGTCGAGTCGTGCCGGGACGGGAAAGTATATATCGCGCCTAATTTAATTTCCGCGGGAGTACGCGCGCGCCGCCGCGTCAGACGCGGATATTCGTAACGCTGATTTATACCGCGTGGTCATAAATTTCCTTTCTCTTTCTTGCCACGTGACCACGGCACGACTTTGCTAATTCGCCACGCCGCCGATTAATCTCTGGGTTATGAGGGATGTCATTTCGCTCGTTCGTCTTGCGCCTGACTTTTTATTGTCGACGCAAGCCGCTACTTTCGGCTCCGCCCGTTGGATTTCCGCTGCTTGAGCAGTTGATCCCTCTTAATACCAGCGTTTTTAACGTTGCGATGCGTCTCGCCCCGTTATTCAGTGCGTTATTCGTCGCGTTGCGCTGCACAACGATCAACTTCGCCGCTCTAGTGCGATCCCGTTGTATCCCTATCGCGCGCGCAAAGTCCAAGGGGAAGTTGTACATCTTTATACGCGTAAAGCCGGAATATGAATCAAGTTGCCGAGCGCGCATTTACGGAGGAGCTTACGTTACTTTTATTCTCGGGGTTAAATATTCTTTTCCGCTCTTCCGCGATATTCTTCTTCCACACGTGCGAGAACCTCCTCCTCCAGCCCTCTCGTCTCGTGACGTGCTCTCGCGAAATGGAATTGAAACGTAAAACGCTTACAGAGTCACCGGCGGAGAACTGTTCGAGGACATCGTCGCCCGGGAATTCTACAGCGAGGCCGACGCCTCGCACTGTATTCAACAAATCCTGGAAAGTGTTCATCACTGCCACCATAACGGAGTTGTGCATCGGGATCTGAAAGTACGTAGGAGAGGAAGAGAGAGAGAGAGAGAGAGAGAGAGAGAGAGAGAGAGAGAGAG